TTGTATTTTTGTTCTTTGTATGCCACTCATGTATCTTATGATACATTAAGGTTAACTGATTGTTATTAGTTGAAGCTTTTAAGCAAAACTAAGTATTGTTCTCACTCATGAGCTTTTAAGCAAAAAGTTGATTATTGTATTTGAAGTACAATCTTCTATTTGGTTCTTTGATTTTTATCACGGGTTTGTGACAAGGTTAGCACTGAGGTGATTGATAGGAAATGAGAGGGGGATCTCATATCTAAAGGGTTCTAGGTAGAAGTTGCACAAGATAGGGATTAGGTGATAAGTTGTAAACTAGGGTTAGTTTTTAGCTTCGAACTAATACTATCATTGTGAATTTCCTTCTTGGCTTGGTATCCCCCAGAATAGGTGACATTGCACCGAACCGGGTTAACAATTGATTGTGTTGTTTGTTTTTCTGCAATTTACTTTCTGCATAATCTCCTGTTTTAGCAAGTGTTTTTCTGTCAGCAAATGTTGTCATAACATTTATCTTGATATTGTTTTGGTGTTGGGACATTAGTCTTGACATCTATTTTGAAGTGCCAGAATTTCAATAAACTTCTTCGTCTAAGGGTCCATTCAGGAATGCACATTTCACGTCCATCTAATGTATGTGCCAACTATTCATTTCTTCTAGACCAATAACCAACCTGATTGTTTCAATCCTAGCAACAAGTACAAATACCTCATCAAAGTCGATTCCTTCATTCTGAAGAAAGCCTTTCGCCATAAGTCTTGCCTTGTGTTGAGTTGCTTCCCCTTTGGGATTCAACTTCAGCTTGTATACCCACTTGACATCAATTGCCTTCTTGCCTTGAGGCAATTCGACAAGTGACCAAGTGTTGTTGTCTTCGATGGACTTTAGTTCCTCATTCATAGTTTTCACCCACTTCGAATCTTTCAATGTTTCAGTTGCATTGACAGATTTGACATCTGCATGTAAAGCATAGTGTACTAGCTCATCTTCATCATCGACCACATCATCTGATATAATCATATAATCTTCCAACCTTGCAGGCATGTGTCTTATTCTCCGAGGTCTTCTTGGGCTTGCATCACCTCTGACTTCTTCTTGTCAAACTTCTAGTCTTTCGACTTCAGTGGATGGTTCTTCACAAAATATTGTCACTGAATCCTTGTTTACATTTCCAGTCCAATCCCATTCCTTAAACTCATCTATGATCACGTCCCTACTGATCACTACTTGCTTGTTCACTTGGTCGAACAACTTGTAACCTCCTGTCGAGTGATATCCTACTAGGATCATTTGAATCGACTTGTCATCAAGTTTTCTTCTCAATTGATGTGGCACATGTCTATATGCTATTGATCTAAAAACATTCAGATGACTTAAGCTAGGTTTAACACCAGACTAACATTCTTCTGGCGTGATTCCTTCTAACTTCTTCGTCAGACATCTGTTCAGTATGTATGTTGTCGTAGACATAGCTTCGCCCCAAAATTCTTTAGGTAAATGCATTCCTTTTAATATACTTCTCACCATATTCACGATGGTTCGATTATTCCTTTCTGCAGTTCCATTATGTCGTGGAGTGTAGGGTGGGACCACCTCATGCACAATCCTTTATTTCTCACATAACATATCAAAGTCTTTCGACACATATTCTCCATTATCATCAGTCCTTAAAATCTTGAGCTTTCGACCACTTTATCTTTCGACCATAGATTTGAACTTGGAAAATACCTCGATCACTTCACTTTTCTTCTTGATCGGGTAAGTTCATAGTTTTCGACTAAAATCATCTATGAATGTGACAAAGTACATGTTACATCCAGTCGAATCCACCTAGATATGACCACATACATCAAAGTATATGATTTCAAGAATAGTATTCGATTTGCTTCTGGCATCATTGTTGAAGTTGTTCTTGTGCTGCTTCGCTTGCACACATTCCTCACACACCTCGTTTGGAATGCCAATTTTTGTAAACCCTGAAACCATATTTCTTATTTTCAAATCTCTGATGTCTTTGAAGTTGAGATGGCCAAGTTGATAGTGCCATATCCATTCATCCCTGCTAGTTGTAGTCGAAAGGCACTTGTGCTCGATCATATTTAGTTCGATCTTGAAGGTTCTATTCTGAGACATAAGAGCCTTCAAGATTAACCTTCCATTTATGTCAACGACTCTCATTATCTTGTCTTTGATCGACACTTTATAATTATTTTTGACCAACTTCTCCATGCTAAGAAAATTGCTCTTCATGCCTAGTATGTACAACATATTGGAAATTACTGACCTTTTTCCATCTTTCCTCATAATCAGAACGTCTCCAATACCTTCAGTTTCTAGATTATTACCATTTGTGAATTTCACCATGTTCTTCATTGAGGGTTTTATGTTGACAAACCAATCTTTCCTCCGAGACATGTGTAATGAGCATTCTGAATCCAAGTACTATTGCTCCTTGAATTTATCTTTATCTCTTGTTGTAACCATCAACATCATCTCTTCTTCTTCATGTTTTGAAAACTTTGCATTACTTTCTTGATTCTTTTGTTTTTCTTGACAATCACTAGAATAATGACCATACTTCTGACAATTGAAACACTGAATATGACTCCTGTCAGGTTTTCAACCAGTACCTCTTCCTTTACCTTAAACACCACCTCTTTAGTTGCCTTGATATGTGGGTCTTCTTTGATTCGATACAATTCCTTCTTGTCGGTCTCCTCTACTAGTCAAATTGTTGTAGCCTTCTCTACCTTTGTTGTTGAACCATTTTCCTTTGCATTTCTTTTCTCTTGCTGACTGCGCCTGCAAAGCCACATCACTCTTCGACTTGCTTGTAGCTCTTTCAGCCATTCTTTTTTCATAAGATTCAAGAGCCCATTGAAGCTCTTCCTTTGTCAGCGTCGACAAATTCTTTGACTCTTTAATGACAACCACCACGTGGCCGAACTTAGGAGCCAAAGATCAGAAGATCTTTGAAACAACAACTCTTGTTGTTAATGTTTCTCCACATACTTTGATTTGATTCATTAGTTTCGTAACCCTAGTGAAGAAAAATCAATTATGATTTAATTTTCTTCCATCTGAAGCAATTGATACGTTCTTTTGTGAGTTTATAACCTCACCTCTTTCACCTTTTACGCACCTCCAAAAGACTTTTCCAGAGTTTCCCAAGTTTCTTTTGCGGATTCTATATCACTAACCTTTTTGAAATTATCTGTACTCAGACATTGATGAATTATAAAGAGAGCTTTATAATTATTCTTGTTCAATTCTTTATCTGCAACCTCTTTTTCTTTTGTTGTGTTTTCTTTAAGCGGTTATAACCCTTCTTTCACAAGATCCCAAAGATCTTGACAATAGAACACAAGCTTCATCAGCTTGTACCAATTCTCATAGTTATCGACTTTCAGAATTGGAAGACTTTTGGAAAATGCCCATTCGGATGATTCACTGATATCATGATTTTCTTCTCTTGAATCGCTCAACCAGGCTCTGATATCAGATGTTAGAAATTCACCAAAATCTATGGAGAATTTCAATCAATCTTAATGAACAAGATTGTTATCACTACACAATGACAATGAAAAGAAAGAAAATTGAGGAAGAAATAAAATTAGGGTTTACGAAAATATGGGGAAGAAGAAGATTATTTTCTGCAGAGTAACTCTCTGCCCACAAATTGTAAAAAATCTTTATTCACTTGCAACTGCAAATTATGTGAATACAAGTTATTATATCAAAATAGGGGTTACTCCATTTATTTATAGTTTTAGGTTAGCTTGCTCTTTAAGTCAAAACCCAAAATCTCAAAATACTTAGTTTAGATCTTAGTCGAAATCCTATATCAAGCAAATTGTTCCGACACTTCGACACATTATACAACTCGACTACAACTTCAACACACTATTAGACTAGTTCGGTACATCCTTGTTCTATCGAGCAACATACTACTTCGACAAAAAAAATTACATTCTCAATATTATTTACTATCCTTTCTCATTTAGTGAAGTTTATTTTTCTTTCCCTTCCTCCTTTACTTTTTACTTAAGCTGATTACTAGGAGGGGGAAGACAATTAAAAACATTGTATTTATATAAAATAAAAAATTTATAAATGTCTTCATCTCGTTTGTTATTGTAATTCTCAAATGAAAGTCAAGTAGAGAAGGATGATTAGTACTCCCTCTGTCCCAAATTTAAATATTACATTTAGAAAAAAAATTGGTCCTAAAATACTTATCACTTTATTTTACCAATACAATTTTAATTATTATCTTTCAATTATACTCCTTTCAATTAATACATTTAATTTATTATTTTTTCACTTTACGGTAATTCTAATTCAAATAAATCAATAGTTAATGAGGATAATTTTTGATGAAGATAATTTAGTAAAATCATTATTCTTTCTTTTATTTATTACACTTTCTTTATTTGTGTGAAAGTATCAAATATGACACTTAATTTGGAATGAAGGGAATATTGATTTTGGCATTAATCAATTGTATAAATGGATGTTTAATTTTGATTTGATTTTATAAGACTCTTTTTTAATTTTTAAAATTTTAAATAATAAAATTTATTTAGTAGCCTAATTTTACTAAATTATTTTTGAAAATTATTCTCACAAATTGTGAGTTTTAAAAACTAAAAAACTAAAACAAATTTTAAAAATTTTGATTTTCAAATTTAAAATTAAAAAAAAAGCAGTTTTTAATATTTGTACAATTTTAAAACAATTTTGAAAAATAAAGATTTCAAACATATTTTAAAAAATTAATTTATATAATAACATTTAAAAATTAAAAATTAAAAATCATTCAAACCTATCTTTAATATTTTAGGGAATTCAATTCTTCTCCTCTCTTGTTAAAATCATATTCGGTTATTGTCGTGGAGAAAGGAAAACCTCTCCCGCCACGAAAATTCTATTGTCTCTCCCTCTCTCTCTCTTGGTAGTAGCCATATACACAGCTAGCTTCGCGTCACAATCTCACTCTCATCAACTCTTCAAACTAATGGCTGCAACTCTTCAAACTCTGCGACTTCCTTTTCATCCATCTATCACACCCCTAAATTCATATCCTTTCCCAACCTCTACCGTCCATTACTCCCCCAAATCAAGCACCTTCAAGGGTTCATCTGTCGCCACCCGCAACAAACCAGTACCTTCTTCCAAAGCTTCCAATTCGCAGTACAGTCCCACTGTTACCGAAAATCTCGCTGACATTAGCATTTTCTCGGCCGCCGGTGAGCCCGTCATGTTCAAAGATCTTTGGGACCAAGAACAGGAAAAGCCCTGATCTTTATCCATTTCTTATATGTTTTGGGCACAAACATTTTGACCTAAAATTGTGCTTTTTACTCTCTGGAATATTAATTTGAATTAGTTGAGTTAATGGGTTGATCTTAATTTGTGGTGGGTGATTAGAGTTTATTCTTGCAGGGAATAGCTGTGGTTGCACTTTTAAGGCACTTTGGATGTCCATGCTGGTAATTATATCATCTTCACCTTTGGTTTGAGTGATGATTCTTCTTACTGTGGGTTCTCTTCTTTTGTTCTTAGCTGGGAATTTGCTTCAACTTTGAAAGAATCCAAGTCAAGGTTTGATTCAGCTGGTGTCAAGCTAATTGCAGTGGGTGTTGGTGCCCCCAATAAAGCCCGTATTCTTGCCCAACGAGTAATGTTTTCCTTCCTCCTTTGTTATTTCAGTATTTTTTTCTAGCTAATTATGATGCTTTAAAATAGTAACATAAGAACTAAGCACTTGGGCTCGAGTATGTGGGGGTTACGACTTCCCTTAATTATACGGAAGTCATATCTATCTGCCATGTGCGTCTTCCATTAAATCCAAATCAAGTTGTACTTCCCATGTATGGCTTCAGCCTCGGTTATTAGGGTTTCAAAATTGAGTATATAATTGAAACATACATGGTTCTACAAGGCACATATGGCTAGTATCAGCATCATATAATGTTTGATTTTATTTGTATAATTTTTACGAATACAAACCTAAAAAATCCCATTGTGGCATCTTGAATTTGTATCATTGCAAATCCAATCCAGGTTAACTTTCCATAATCTAGGGACTGAAGTTGTTAGGGAAGAGATAGGTTATAAAGGAAGAAAAGAAACCATCAAATTGAGTTCAACTTAGTATTTGACAAATATCTAAGAAACATGTGCACTGCTGCGGAATTGAAATGTTACACACAGAAAACAGGAACACATACATGGTTTCACCAAGTTTCTGAAAGCTTGGTTCTCTCCCTTCCCAGCAACCACTCAATAACTTCCCTAGAACTTCAACAATACAATGCCCTCTTTCTATTTATTGTTACTAACAGGTAACATAGCTGACACACAAGTAATTAATAAAACATAACTGATAGAAATATAAAACATATCCGCAAACAATGAATCTTCTGACTCAGGTTCACCTTGCTATCTCCAGCAGCCCGTAGCCATCAAAATCTTCCGTGTTAAAAAAACCCAGAAATAAATAAAAATTGATAGATCCATCACATAATAAAATTTGAGAATAACCCAGAAATAAAGGAAGCGGAGAGTTTAGAATTTCATTGTTACCAGTGTAGCTCGCGATAGGTCTGCAAAGTGGCAATCCAGCGTGGTCTTGTGGGTTCAGGAAGTGGGGATGAAGGTCTGAAAGAGAAAGACTGTGCATGCGCAATCCTGTTTTTGCAAAATTGCTTGAAGGATGCATTGTGGGTGAGAATACTGTGCCATTGATGAACAGATCCTCATCATAGAACATAGAAGTCTGTGGTTGGCGATTCTGGATTTGGGTTTCAGCGTAGCGAGAGCGAGGACACGTGAATGGGTTCAAAAACATTTCAATTTTGAAATCCTGGCCAAATGAAAAATATGCATAGATCCATATGGTGCAGTGAACTGTTTTGAGGAAGGTATTGCCTTTGCTGTAGAGGTGGTCAAATTGTAACTTCTTTGAATTGAAGAGATGCAGGATAAATTTCACCAATTTGAAAACGATAGATACAAGAGATTGAACAGACATAAGGTTGAAGAGGTTTTTTTTTAGGTTTGTCTCATTTGCTGTTCCTGTGAGCTTCTTTTCTATGTAGACTCACACAACTTCTCATTTTTTTACTCCTCATCTCACACAACCTTTCTTTTGCTTTACTTCTCTTAATGTCACTCACCATTTGCTGTATTATCCCTTATTTGGTTAATTTGTATAAGAGTTATAAATGATGTGGAGTTTAGGTGAATTGACATACGTTTGTTCTTGTCAGTGGTGAGGTTTAATTGTAGATTATATAGTGGTAGTGATAATAGTGATAGAGATGACATAAAGATATGTATACCATGTACAACTGACACAGTTTGGTTAAAGGTAAGAAACCATGGCCACTAGTTTTCTACAGAAGTTTTTTGATCAATTGTTATGCGTGTGAAAATTATTGAGTTACCAGCTATGAAGCCTGGACACGGACACGAGACACGACACAGACCCGGACACGGACACGAGGACTCGGCTAATATAAATAACATAGGACACGGACACGGCTATATATATTTTATATATTAATATAATAATGCAATTTATGAGCACAATTTATAAATAGTTCAAAATGAGAAGTAACAATTTTTGTTTATTTAAACTTAGTACTTTCAATCAATAAAAAAAAAGGACATAAAATGACCGGAAACATGGACTGCATTATTAGTACTTTCAATTTTTGTTTATTTTCTTATACAGTATATAACCGGTCCTCAGAAACATAGACTGCATCTTGGATACTAAAATGTGCATCCAAAGTATTAGGATGTATCATTAAATAGAATAATGAAAACAGTTCTATAATTTAGTCTATTAGCAGATTAGTTATTTAGAAGGGAAAGGGAGGGGGATCGGTTAGATATAAATAAGAGAAAACAGATTAGGGAGATCCATTCAGTATATTTGAATTTGATTATCTGTAAAGTGACATAAAAGACCCTTTGCGAAGGACATTTGGAGTATATTCGTCCCTATCTTTTGTTCTAATTTCAATGACAGTAGTATAAAACTCTTTAGCAATTCTTGATAAAGTGGATGGTCTGAATAGTTTTCCACATGGTTACACAAAGCATATAGGAATTGTATATAACAGTAATCAATAAAAATTTATATTAGAAGAATGGCCGTAAAGGTAAAAAAACAAGGGATCCTAATTTTGTAACTATTTGTGTAATTGTGTTGGTTTTATAGAGGGTAAGTAAAATACAAAACTTAAAGAATCCTTGAGTTGGGCTTTTTTTTATAAAAAAAAAATTTGAATTTTTTGTTGAGCCGTGTCTTGTATGTAAATAAAGTGCCGTACCCGTGTCCATTTCGATTCAATTTTTTTTCTTCCGTTGAACACTTTAAAAACGTGTTGTACGAGTGTCGTACAAGTATCCGTGTGGAACACGTGTCTGACACGCCGACACGCCGCGTGAATGGTGTGTCGGCGCTTCATAAGTTACCAGTCTCAAGTATATTTTGGCTCAATGGTCTGTTGATTTAATTTCAAATGAACTTGTTGAAGGGTCGCCGTCTGTGTTGTAAATTAGCAAAGGGAAGCAATATGGGGTCATTTTAATTTATCTAAGTCTGGCAGATATATGGATCTCTATACTTTTAACCTATTTGAAATTTGAAGACTTTTCTAGTAATTTACTTATTTATAGAATATTGGTATGAACATGTACTTGATTTCAAGACACATCTAATATCTTCTTTTTCAATTGATTTTGTATGTTCAGTTGCCATTTCCAATGGATTGCCTTTATGCAGACCCTGACCGCAAGGTAACGCATGGATATCATGTTGAATTTTCACCCACTATATCTCCTCATCTTGTAAATGTCTATTTTAACCAATTTCCCTGTCTTTCAGGCATATGATTTTCTAGACCTCTACTACGGGTTTGGCCGTACTTTCTTCAATCCAGCCAGTGTACTTGGACTTGTCTGAAATAAACATGTATATTTCTTGTTAGACATTGGCCACTTCGCATGCTGATAAACATGTTTTCCCTACAAAATTGTTATTAACAGGCAAAGGTGCTATCGAGATTTGACGCTCTACAAAAAGCAACCAAAAACTATACAATAGAAGCCACTCCAGATGATAGGACTGGTGTTTTGCAACAGGTTTGATACGTTAATCTGGTGGCAAAAGACTGAAAACAAACTTAATATTTTACTTTACAACTAAGATGGTTTCTTATATTGATTAATTTGTGCATTTTATCAGGGAGGGATGTTTGTGTTCAGAGGGAAAGAGCTATTATATGCAAGGAAAGACGAAGGAACAGGTGATCATGCCCCATTAGATGATGTTTTTGATGTTTGCTGCAAAGTTTCTGTTGCTTAACTGTACTGTATACAATTTTAAATTTGCAAAACATTAGGAATGTTCAGTTTAAGAATAGTTGTTTTAGAATAGGATTCAATGTCAATCATACAAGAGCCAACATATAAAAATCATATTTATATTAATTCAATTTATAAACCTTTGGGTAACTTATTCCAGTACTTCTTGGTGAACTTCAGTATATTGTACCAAAAATTGAGTTAGAAAGTATGAAGTATGGGGACTCCGACACAAACATGGCACACGGCACAAAACACTCCGACACCGATCGATATGTCAAAAATATAAGACAGCTACATATGTTGATAGAAAGTAGAGAGAAAGAATTTCATTTTCATCTAACAACTTTTCATTATGATTGAAAGTTAGTTACAAAGGAAAAACAGTTTGCATTTTATACTGCAACCTGTAACCTGCAGTAGTAGCAGGTGACAAGCTTATGACACCTTGACAGGGGTCAATTACAAAGACTAGCTAAGAGTAACTCCAACAGGAGTATTTCAAATTGTCCTCCAGCCTGGCAAACAACAATTTCAATTCAAGTGCCGTTGGAGTTGACCACGGTGGAATACTGTGCAAGGGCATTCTAACGGTCCTTCAAATAAAATATTAATTAAAAAATAGTTGTTTTTTTGTTTCAACGGCTAGCTTCATTTTTTTTAGAACTTTAGCTTATTATAAATACCTCTATTTGAAAAATTTTACACACAAAATTTCTCTCATATTTTTATTTGCTCATAAATTTTGAATTTATTTCTCACAATTTCATCACTTTGCTCTTCATTTTTAATTTTTTCTCTTACAATTTATTCTCATTAGCCTTCATTTGACAATATATTTTACCCAAATTTTTACCTTTTTACTTCAAAATTAATATTGTTTAGGCCAAATGGATCCTAATCAATTTAATTATCAACAATCTATGTTCAATTTCATGCAAAATTTTCAAAATCCTAATCCTCAAAATTCTCAATTCCCATCGATGCCAACAAACTCCGCCGCTTTTTTTCCGTCATCAACCGGAAACACTCCGCCGCATTTTTTCCATCACCAAACTCCACCATATGGTCAACCATCTATGGAATTTTTTCGTCATGAACCGGAAACACCGATTGTGTCTATGTCCGAAAGTCAAATTCCACCATTTTCAACTCAAGTCCGTATTGAAAAAGAAGAAAGTCGTCCTGTTAAAAAAAAGCTCGAGAGGTATTTTCAAGGGATGAAGATATACTTCTTATCCAATCATGGCTCAATGTTTCAAAGGATTCAATTGTGGGAGTTGATCAAAAAGCTGAGAGTTTTTGGTTAAGAATCACTACCAATTATAACGAGTATCGTGGACAATCGCGGGAAAAGCTACGTGGGCAATTAAAATCTCGATGGCATTGAATAAATGGCTTGGTTCAAAAATTTGTTGGGTGTTACAAACAAGTTGTTAATGGAAAGAAAAGTGGGACTTCGGAGAAAGATATTTTGGCTGTTGCATATGCATTTTTTGCTCAAGATGAAGGTACACCATTCAATCTTGAGTACGCATGGCGATTGTTAAAGGATGAACCTAAATGGATGGGAGCATCGACCGAAAATTCTTCAAAAAGAATAAAGAATTCTGCTAGTGGGGCACACTCATCTCGTCTAACCTCGCGACACCTTCAAGTTATGAGTTTAACTCATCATCACCAATGGAGCGTCCAATGGGACAACAAGCAGCAAAAAGAAAGAGTAAGGCAAAGGAAAATGCATCTGAATCACCTTCTAATGTTGTGCAAGAAACATGGAATAAAAGAGTAGCGGCAATGGAAATACTAGCTCAATGTAAGGAGGACGAGATGGAGTATAAGGCAATGCAATTACTCTCGAAAGACACTTCTATGATGAATGATAGTCGACGAGATATTCATGAAAAATATTGTAATAAGTTGGAAAAAAAATATGGATTTTAGTTATGATGAAAAGATATAGTACTTATTATGTATCAACACCTATGTAAAATGGTCATTAGTACCAATTTAATTTATAATAAATATTATGTTGTTATTCAAACTAGCCGTTATTCAAACTAGCCGTTATTCAAAATAGTCGTTATTCAAACTAGCCGTTATTCATATATCACTATATAAATGACCACTCTTCTCATTATTTTTTCACTCTTCTCTCAATCTTCTCTCATTCTTCTCTCTTTTTCCTCTCATTCTTCTTTCATTCTTCTTTCATTCTTCACTCACTTTAATGGATTCAGACAGTTCAGATGATCTCTTTTGGGACTTGATTGAAGAAGAATTTATGGACAACACTGATGAAGAACTACTAAAGTCAATGCTCAAGAAGGAACATCAATCTGGAAGTTCCTCTAGGCCAAAGAGAAGAACAGTGATAGATCGAAATTGTGAAGAAGGGCACAATTGTTTATTCAATAACTACTTCTCGGAAAATCCAGTATACACAGATGTTCAATTCCGAAGAAGGTTTAGAATGCATAGGCATGTGTTTCTTCGAATTGTAGCCGCCCTTGAAAATCATGATGAATATTTCCGAATGAGGGTCGATGCAACTGGTAAAATGGGTCTTTCACCATTGCAGAAATGCACATCTTCTATTCGTATGTTGGCATATGGGTCTCCTGCTGACAGTGTGGACGAATATGTTCGAATCGGTGAAAGCACTTCAGTTGAGTGCTTAGAAAGATTCGTTCGGGGCGTGAATGTTGTATTTGGGGCAGAGTATTTGAGAAAGCCTAACAACACAGATGTTGCACATCTCTTACAAATAGGAGAGTCACGTGGCTTTCCAGGTATGTTGGGTTCCATTGATTGTATGCACTGAAATGGAAAATTTGTCCCGTTGCATGGAAAGGACAATTTTGCCGAGGCAATCATGGTAAGCCCACAATCATGCTTGAAGTAGTGACATCACAAGACTTATGGATTTGGCATGCATTTTTTGGTATTGCAGGTTCAAACAATGACATTAATGTGCTAAACCAATCCAATATGTTTAACGATATTTTGGAAGGACATGCTCCCACTATGAACTATACAATCAATGGAACATCATATAATATGGGGTATTATTTAGCGGATGGTATATATCCTGAGTGGGCTGCATTTGTCAAGACTATTTCAATGCCGCAGGGAGAAAAGAGAAAACTATTTGCTCAACATCAAGAATCAGCTAGAAAGGATGTGGAGCGGGCATTTGGAGTGCTCCAATCTCGATTTACAATTATACGTGGCCCAACACGTGCCTGGCATATGGAAACCCTCAAGCATACCATATATGTTTACATCATATTGCACAACATGATTGTTGAAGACGAACGCCACACATATGGAGGTGATTTTGATTACTCTTATGATAATGTAGATGACACCTACTCAACAACTGAAACATTTAACGGTCCTCATCTGAATCTTGCAACAAGACTACAAAGAAGAGCAAGTCTTCGTGAAAAACAAGTTCATCGCCAACTTCAAGGAGATCTAGTCGAGCATATTTGGGAACGTTTTGGACATGAGAATGATGAAAATTAAATTTGAGTAATTCTGTTATGTTATTTATTTTTAATGTTTTTAATTATATGTCATGTATTTGAGATTAATTTTAATTATCATTTTAAATTTTATGTTTAATTTTAATTTGATTTATTTTATATTAATTTAAATTTAAATAATTATTTTAAATCAAATCAAATCAAATTTAATATGAATAAAATATTAATATATAAAGTAAAGATGTGAGACCTAATTTGAGTTCTTTAGAGTTGCACTATTGGAATGAAAATTGAATGAGTTATTTCAAGATGATGTGGCTTAATAGGTCCCACAAAAAACTAAAAATTGAGTTGCACTATTGGAGGTATTCTAAGTAGCATATGACAAGCTTATGACACCTGTTGTCATTACAAAGATTAGCTAAATAGCAGGTGACGAGCTTATGACACCTCGACGGATATTAGTTACAAAGACTAGCTAATACTTTTAATATATATGATAGTTTTTTCATTGATAATATTGTTTCAATGTGTTTAATGTGAGATGTGTTTGAGCAAAAAAAGAAACAATTTTTTTTAAATACCTATTAAATTGTCTAACACATGTTGTATGAGTGTTAAATGGGTGTCCGACACCGATTTAAAGAGTGTTGAAGTAAAGAAAATAAATTATTACGTGAAAGTATTTGTTTGACATTTCTAACACGTAGCGTACAAGTGTTATACAAATATCGATATTTGACACGTATCGGCTCCACAGCATGCCTACTCTGCCAGAGGTGTCCATGTTTAATAGGTAGAAATGTCAATTGTCACCTATGTAAGCTGTTCTTGTTTTAATCATTTGAATAGCTATAATGAAAATGTAAATGGTAGTACTTACCTAAAACTGAAAATTTGAAAGTAACAGTAAAGGGGCGTTTGTTTTTTTGGATTATAAATTAGGAATATAAGCTGAAATATTTTTTATTCTAATGTTTGTTTTAAGTTTTAAGAAAATATGTTTTGGAACTTTTTATTCTCAAGAATTTATTTTACACATGGTTTTGTCATTTTCTATTTTCATGTTATAGGGTGTGAATATTTTATTTCCATGGAAATAAGAACTAACCAGCTATAACTCTCCCTCTTTCAAATATTTTATTCTATTTATTATTTATTTTAAAATTTAAATTAAATATAATTTATAAATATTCCTAAGAACTTAAATTACTCATGTTTCATCAAACATGTAGACGGAAATAAACTTTCCAATAATAATGTTCCTAGGAATAACATTCCCAAAATTATAATTTTAAACTTTGAAACAACCACACCAATTATATAATTGTAAGTTGTAACTATAATAATATTACTCTTTTCTTTGGAGCTATAGGGCCTTGTCATGGTGGTACTTGTGTTGGCCTTATATTATTTGGGCCCTTATACCCAAACTGGATTGTTTGGGCCCAATTTTTATCCTGAGCAACTTTTTTAAAGTAACTTCTTTTTTCACCCTTGTATTTTCTTC